CTGCAATAAACCACCACGATGATGAGGAGGGGCAGGAGGAAGTAGAAAGTGGCGAAGAAGACCACGAAGAACTTGCAGTACGGACCGCGGCTCCATTGCAGGGAGCAGCCGCGGCCGGCGGGCGGAGGGCGGTCGGGGGACAACCAGCCCAGCACGGGGACCAGCGACGTGGCCACGGCCTTCAGCCAGACGCCCACCAGCACGCAGACCACCAAACCCACCGTCATCCGCACCTCGTAGCGCATGGGGTGCACGACGTAGTAATAGCGCTCCACGTTGATGGTGGAGATGGAGAGGATGCACATGCTGATGAAGCAGACGCTGAGGAACAGGTAGACTCGGCACATGGCCTCGCCCAGCACGGGGCTGTCAAACACAGCCGAACCCGACAGCATCTCCAACGGCATCAGGGTGAGGGCTGCCAGGAAATCCACCAGGCAGAGATGGAAGACGAAGACGAACTTGCGCAGCGCCGGCGTCTTCACGATGACGGTCATCACGGCCGCGTTGCCCACGATGGCCGTCAGGTCGATGAGCAGCATGAAGAAAAGCCCCACCGATTTGGAAGCCACGTCTTTGGGTTTGCTGTCGGCCGTGCCGTTGGGGGGCATGGGGTCTGGAGAGGGCTGGAGCGCCCGCGCTGCCCTAGAGCCGTTCCAGCCCCATAGGGCGGGCAGGGAGGGCTCCATGCTGTGGCCCATCGCCCATCCTTGGGGCTGACAGTGCGGGGCTGTGGGGCATCGTTGGGTGCTCCGATGGCCCTATGGCCGCTGCTGCCCCGCTGCGGGGTGGGTCCTGAGGTGCTCAGCGCACCCAGGGGTGCCGCCAAGCACCACTCAGCTCCCTGCTCCTCTCCACCGGGCAGAGCTGTGGGGCTGCGGGGAAGGGGAGCCGTCAGCGGGGGGCACAATGGGGACACTGGGACCCCACGAGACCACGGGTGGGGGTCACGGCTCCGCTGTGGCTCCCAGGTGCAACCCCCCCTTGTCCCCTGCACGCTTGTGACACCCTGCATTAAGACCTCCCCCAACCCTCCCCCCCTTTTTCTTTTTCCTCCAAGGAAAGCCTTCTGCCTTGCAAAATGAGCGATTCTGGGGCTAAAACCCCCAAACTCCGTGGTTTCATCCCCAAAAGCTGCATTTTTACCCAGAGCCCAGGGACCACGTGGAGCTGCACCAGAACCACCCCGACGACCCCTCTGCTCTTGGAGGGCCGCACATAACCCCGCACCTCTGCCCCTCCCCGCTGGGTCCCACCCCCCAGAAAAAGCTGCAAAGGCACCGCGGGGTGAGCAGGGACAGGGAGGGGTTGGGGGGGGGGACCTTCCGGAGCCCCCCAACCTCCCATCCCCACCCTGGGGGTCTCCCCTTCCGCTGGGTGTGGGGGGATCCCCGAGCGCAGCGATGGATCGGGGTGCAGGAGGTGCCCCCTCCCTGCACGACCACGCATCGGGGACCCCCCCGCCCCACACCGCGAGCACCCCGGGCATCGCTCTGCCGTTACCTACCGGGGGGGGGCTCCATGGGCCCGAAGCGGGGCCGGGCGGGGAGATGCTCGGAGCCGGGGCCGGTGCTGGAGCCGCTGCGGCGAGAGATGCTCCCGCACCGCCCGGCTGCTGGGTCCTAAACGCCTCCCGCCCGAACCGCACCGCCCCGGGAGCCCCCGGCCCCAAAATGGGCCGCCACCGAACGGGGAACCGGGCCCGGGGGGGGGGGGGG